ATAATAATAATAATAATAATAATAATAATAATAATAATAATAATAATAATAATAATAGTAATAATAATAGTAATAATAATAATAATGATGATGATAATAATAACAGTAATTAATAATGATAGTGATAACAATGATGATGATAATGATAATGATGATAAACCATTCTTGCAATTATCATTGTTATCATTGTTATGATTATCATAATTATTATTATTTTTCATAATTATTATTACTATCATTAATATCATCATCATTATCATCATTATTATTGTTATTATCATTATCAATTTGTATAATCTGCATCCTCATCATTATCTCTATTACCATCATTGTTATTATTATTGTTATTATTATTGTTTCCATTATTATTAATAATACTATTTTCATTATCATCATCATTACCGTTATAATTATTATTATTATTATTATTATTATTATTATTATTATTATTATTATTATTATTATTATTATTATTATGTAATTGTTGTTGTTGTTGCTGCTGGTGCTGTTGTTGTTGTTGTTGTTGTTGTTGTTGTTGCTGTTATTGTTGTTGTTGTTGTTGTTATCATTATCATGATTATTATTATTATTATCATTATCATTATCACTGTCATTACTATTATCCTTACAGTGATAATACTCATGATGATAATAGCTACAATAGTAATAACAGTGATAGTAATCGTGATAATAATGCGTATGAAACCTATAAAGACAATACAAGCACGTGGATATACCGATTATTCGTTTCCTTTATTAAAGAACTGACTTTAACTTATATTTTCAGCTTACACAGGTAAATAACCACAACAGAGATAAAATTGAAAACCATAAGTAACCAAAAAAATTAAGAAACTAATATTATCAGTACAAATATCTATATTTCTTATAGTAACATTACCTTTGCATGTTCTCAGACTATGTAAAGGAAACGGACGAGTGCAGGCATGTAAACAAACACCTCGACGACGTGTTGGTGACAAGAAATTGCATTTAAAATGTGTGGAATATGCTTCGTTTGTGGATTATCAAGCTCACTGTGCCAAATAGAAGAACAGGTTTGTTCCCTCCGTGTTCTGTTAGAGATATGATTTGATAGCGTGCTTAATTAACAGTGGTATGTTGTATGCAGGTGGTTAAGTCAAAGATTTTTATGAAGGTTTTATGCAGGATTTTCCGTTTTTATAATTATTATTAGAAGGTGAAGCAATACTCCATTCAGTTATTTTTTGCACAGATTATTACTCCCCCTTCTCCTGATAAAATGCGAACGCATGACTTTTGAGGACAGAGAAATATTCGGTAGTTTAGTCGAAAGGTATGTTGCCTTTACAAATGAGTATCACTCGGTAGGATTTCATGTGGAATATGGAGTTATGGTAAAGGTTAAGTTTCAATCAACCATGTTTTATACAGAAAATAGTATATGCAAATGATCCCAATTGGAAAACATGTTGTTTTTTGTGGACGCGTCATAGCAAGCAATGACAATTTATGAGCTGTGACCTGCGAGAAAAGTACAGTTTTTAACTTTTAATAATGATGTTCTGAAGTGACTTACTAATCATTTGATTATTATTCATGCCTGTTTTTAAATATGGATAGATTTTGTTTTGTCTTGTTGTGTTAGTTATGTTGCAACTCAAATATCTGCAAGAAAGAAAATTGGGTGTAAGAATGATCATTGCTGCAACTGTGAACATTTGTGTATTTTCCAACCAGGCAAATGATAGAGCAAGGAAATCTAAGAAAGTTACCTTCTTTGCACTAATGTCACAAAAAAAAGTTATTTAACACAAAGTGTGATATACACTATAAATATTGAAGATGATAATGATAATAAAACTAGTAATGGTAATAATGATAGTATTATGATAAATTTGTACTTTAAAAAGTCTTGTAAGAAGAAAGTGGAATGAATGAACAAATCCATAATTTTTTTTTATTTTGCAGGCATCTTTGACCCACAACCTTCTCCATCACCGTGGGCCTGACAGCTGTGGGGACATGACATTTTCCATCACTGATGAGGTACATATGTTAGAGTGTTCATTCAAGCTTAGTGACAGTAGCAGTAATAATGTTCTGACATCAAGGTTGATTGTGGAGAATTAATTCATGCAAAGTCATTCCTGTACTTGAAAAGAAGGATAGTATCATATGTGATTTTTATTTCGGTAGAAAGAAAGGTACAACCATAAATATTTGGCTCAGTTTCATTTCATGTGCATTCTGTGTATCTAGCAATACTATAGTAGTCTAATATTATTTAGGATTTTTTTAAGGCTTGCCCCCTCACTATATTTTACTTGGTTGATTGCCATTTAACTTTATTTCTCAAATATTGCTTGCAGTCTTTATTCTTGATTTTTTATTTACTTGGTAGTTTACTGTGTATATATGTGTGTTTTTTATGATTTAGTTTTGAAATTTCATTATATTATTGTATTATTGCTATTTATATAATTCCTGTAAGTCCTTAGACAGAAACCAAAGCCATAAGTAAGAGCTACTTATTGGTGACAGTGTTTCCATATTAGATATTACTGTACTGAGTCACATTAAAGGGAAGAACTTTCATAATCTTACCTCAGTAAACCCACTTTAATACACATATTAATGCATGTGTTCAATACAAGTTGTCTACAGGCTGTATAACTTAACCTTAACAAAAAATCCTGTTTTCCTCTGTTTTTATATTTGAAAGACTTCCCTCATAAAATATTATAACTTACTGAATACTTGTGAAGTTTAATTTTTTCTTAGACTTTCTTTCTTTTTTTAAGATTTTGGAAGATCCAGAAGATTATTTGTGAATTTTTATCATACCCTTTTCCCTAGAAAATCTATATGTAGAGCTTGATGTTTCAACTTGTGAAAGAATTGTTTACATTATAATCCTTCATTAAAAGCAATATGAACTCTTGTTTTTTACTTGCAGATTTGAAGAAAAGCATATATTAAAAGTCCTTTTCCTAAAGTCTTTTCTTAAAAGCTGTTGTTATTGCATTCGATATCTGTGTCTGTGCATATGCTTGTTGTATATATATATATATATATATATATATATATATAATATATATATATATATATATATATATATATATAATATATATATATATATATTAAAAATACTTATAACATCAATCAGTTTACAGGAATTAGACATACAGTACCTTTTCAATATTTCAGCTCAGTGCCACCTTCCATGGCTGTGTTCTTTGGCTCCAAGGTTCAGTGCTTACCCCACAGCCAATTATTGACAAGGAAGGAAATGTTCTACTTTGGAATGGGGACATTTTGGCTGGATATGAGGTTTGATCCTTTTTGTATGTTGAAGTTTGAGGTTTGAAACTATTAATTAGTCAAATCACACACGCACACGCACACGCACACGCACACACACGCACACGCACACACACACACACACACACACACACACACACACACACACACACACACACACACACACACACACACACACACACACACACACACACACACACACACACACACACACACACACACACACACACACACACACACACACTTACTCATTTTAGAAACAGTAATAATTAAAGTGGCCCAAATGTTACTGTAGAATAATACATATTTTTTGACGTAAGATTTCCCTCATTTCAGATCCCTGGAGAGAAAAGTGACACAAAGTACATATCAGAGTACCTAACAGGAAAAGATGAGGAAGAGATTATGTGTTTTTTGAGTGCCATCAAAGGTCCATGGTCTTTGATATACTACCAGAAATGCACCAAAAGGTTGTATTTCGGGCGAGATGTTTTTGGGAGACACAGCTTGGTCTGGCGGTGGCCCACAGAACAGTCCTGGATGTTCCTAGTGTCCTCTGTTACTCAGAGAAGTGCAGAAGTAACAGAGGTCCCTGCTTTAGGGTTGTATTATGTTGATTTTTCACATTCCAAAATGGATGTAAATTTTCATGTATCTCTTATACCCTGGACTCATGTTGATGAAAGTAATCTTGCAGCTTTGCCCTCAACTATTCACACACAGAGGCAGAAGCTAGTGTCTCCTATTAGAAATCGACTGAATATATCCCTTCCTACAGATGAAGTTTTAGAAACTTTGAGAGCACTACCAACATCTTTAGAAAATGACCACATAGACATGCTATACAATGCCTTAAAGGATGATATTGATAGACTCCTTGAAGTTTTAAAAACCTCAATACAACGAAGAGTAGACATGTGTCCGCAGAAATGTCAGAGGTGCACAAACACTCAGGATAAGTGCAGCCACTCAAGAATCGCTGTTTTGTTCTCAGGTGGATTAGATTCTGCAATGATTGCCCTTCTCTTAGACTCTTGTTTACCATCTTCAGAGAGTGTAGATCTTTTGAATGTTGCCTTTGAACAGAGGACCCCACAGAGACCAGAGAAGAAGAAGAGCCAGTTGAATTGTGCTACAAATGGAATTGTACCATCTAAAGATTATGATGTGCCAGACAGACTCTCAGGAAGAAGGTGTTGGCAACAGTTGATGGAGATCAGACCAGGGCGATGTTGGAACTTTGTGGAGGTAACACTTTTTTGTAATATCCTATCTCTGGAAAGAAATCTGCAGTAATAGTAATTTTTTTATATTATCATACATATTTGCACTAGGCCTAGGGGGAAATTAACATGTATACAACTCATTTGGTCTTCAGCAAATTATGATAAATTGAGTACTGTGAAAATAACTACTTAATTACTACTTTGTTATTGTTATTATTATCATTATCATTATTGATATTATTATTATTATTATTATTATTATTATTATTATCATTATTAGTATGATTATTGTTGTTGTTATTGTTATTATTACTATTACTATTACTATTATAATTATCATTTTTGTTATTATCATTAATTAAGATTGTTTAATGTATAAATCTCTCATTGTTGGTTGATCTCACAGTATTGATTCCATTAGCCTTAAACCAGTATATCCCCCTCCTCCCCAATCATTTTCTAAAATGGTTTATCCTGGAGACAAACTTGTTATATAATTTATCATGATGATTATAAACAGGGCAATATTATCCCCTGGTTTACACCATATTATCCCGGATAGACAGATGTGAAAGCTATATTTCAGATAGACGTGACTGGAGAGGAGTTGGCCAGGCAGCGAGAATCAACCATCTCACACTTGGTGGCGCCCCTGAATTCAGTACTTGACGATAGCATTGGCTGTGCACTTTGGTTTGGGGGTCGCGGTGAGGGAACCCTAGAGGGATCACCCTACGTTTCTCCGGCCAGGGTAAGAGAGTAACTTGACAGTAAGGGAGAAAGTCTGTTGGGAAATTTTCAAGTAATTGTGGTATTCATGTCGCTTTTGTAATTGCTGTTGTGTTTTTTTCCTTTTTCATGTGATTTGTTGATTTTTATTATAGTCAATAATTTTATTTTTCATCTATTAACCTTTATAGGAAAGGAGAAAGGGAGTTACATTTGTGGTATTTTTTTCCTATAAGCATAAATTCTTCAGTATTTGGGAATTACACTTAGCAGCATTAAAGATCCAAGGGAGAATTGAACATTAAATTAGCCATTAGCTACAGTTTGTATTTTATTCTATGAAATTATGTAATGTATTTCTGCTTATGTAATGTATAGTCTTCAACTCAGAATTTGCAAATAGAGGAATTCAGTTGCCTTGGTACCATTATATGTACACGTTATATGTGCTTGTCTTTATGGTCTTTGAACTTTTATGATTACCACTTTCATTGTTTGTGTTTATAAGGAAGAGAATTTTTTTTTTTTTTTTTGTAATTATAAACAAGTGATTAATTGTAAGATTCAAATAGTGGCTAAAGTAGCTTATTTTTATGAAATTTATAATCAAGACATGAAACATCATTACCTTCTCATACAAATATACTAAATAGTCACCATGCAGCTGAGACAAAGCAACAATTTAACTTACACCTATGCCACTATAGGTGCTGCTGTGTGGCATGGGGGCAGATGAACAGCTAGGAGGTTACTCACGGCACAGAGGTCGCTTCTCAGCAGGCAGCTGGCCTGCTCTTTTAGAAGAGATTGATATGGAGATATCACGAATCCACACAAGAAATCTGGGAAGAGATAACAGAATATTGGCTGATCATGGACGTGCGCCGAGGTTAGTAGGTTTTGCCTTGTGTGGCATGTGCGGACATACCATGCCCGCTGTGTGTTTAGATTAGTAATTATTTATACATAGAGATGGGTCCACAAATATTAAGTCACCAATAAGTCAATTAGGAGTACTACCTTTCTCACCTGTTTACCCTTTTCCTTGATTTTCAAAATATATTATGGTATCTAATATTGCTGTTGGTATTGTCATTAACACTAGTAATTATAACATTTATAATAAAAATTACAGTATCAATATTGATAAAAAAAAGCATATATTTCCCTTAAACTCAAGGAAAGGTGAAATCAGGTGAGGTCACAAAGTCTACAAGCACTAGCAGAGCCATCTGTGTGCAATATTTCACAGAACAATACTACAGTGAGCACAACATTTTCCCAGGCATTGGGTTAATGCATATACACTTTAGAACTGAAGGGGAAAAAAAATAATCCTTTCTTTTTTATTATTTTAATGGATTTTTTATTATTTTAATGGATTGAGTAGTACTGCCTGATTTATTACTGTCATAATTCTCGTGTTTAAAAACGAATCTTAATCCCAATAGTAACATAGTAGTAGTAGTAGGAATCAGAAATATATCATATGCAACATGCATAGTAGATTAATTTATAACCAGTTCTAATTTACTCTGTATTTTATGACTTTTCCATGAATGTTGGTGCTAATTTTTTACTGAAGGAAAATATTTCCTTGTAGCTTTACTACATATTTTCAACACACTTCTAGTTTCTACAAGAAACTAGAAGCATTTACTGAGCATTACTGAGTGTAAACAGGCTTTATAGAACAAAGTGGAACATACTTTGCACAAAGCATTGGCCAACAATAATTTATTTCCTCTTTTTATAGCATAGATTATAACTAACTGTTCATAATACCATCACTTTTGAGAGATATATTAATACTTTAGACTTGGTTCATTCAAAGAAATGCAGTAACAAGTATTTTTGATTTTGCAAAACATCATTATTGCCAATATTTATCTTGTCTGTCAGGATTGATCAAATTAGAATTTTACAGGAAATCAAAAAAACAGTTGTTAGTAGATACACTTAATGTTTAATACAGTTAGCATGTGAAGAGAATGTGATACAGTTTAGAAGCAAAGGTCACCACATAGCAAAGAATGTGTAAGATATTTATGTCTGAACAGGGTCATTTAGCAAACAAAATGTTAGTTATTAATAAAAATTACCTAGCATAAAATTAAAAAAGATGTCTGTTAACATTTTCAAATTTAACTCAACAATTTGACTAACAGTATTCGTTTCCCTTTGCTAACAGATTCCCATACTTAGACGAAGATGTAGTGTCCATGCTCAACAGCGTCCCTATCTGGAGAAAAGCCAATTTGAACATGCCTCGTGGTGTAGGCGAAAAGATCCTACTTCGCACTGCTTGTGCACATCTTGGACTCACCACTGCTGCTGGTCTGCCCAAGAGAGCTATCCAGTTTGGCTCCCGAATAGCAAAACTCGAGAACTCTAAGGAAAAAGGGTCCGATACGTGTAGTAGATTGGTGGGAAACTAGTTGTTGTGCAGTATTTAGCTGTAATTTATTGTTTCCAGATTAATAATGATGGATATGATTTAATTTTGTTTGTTGTTTTAAAGAATATCAATTATTTTATCATAAAGATTATAAAGATTTAGTTTTAATTCCTTTTGTTACAATGGATATATTTTGCTGGGATATACTGTCTGTTTTATTTTGTTTCTAAATCTCCCATTTTGTGCAAGGAATGGCCTGGGTTACCTTCCACTGGAAACACATGGGCTTGAATGCAGGTCAGCAAGATTGCTAGACCAACACGCTAACCTCTGTACCACGCAGCACACTGAAAATGAAGTACAAAGGTCATTGAATATATTTTTGGAATTAAAACAACCTCCACTGCAAGAAGATAAAATATACTTTCTTTTATCCCCTGTACCCACAGTACAATTAAGAGTTTATATATACCCATCTAAACAGCTGTTGCATACAGATTCTCCTTTTTAGCCTTCTGCATATCCAAAGTGGGTGCATAACTTATACACTAGCATCAGCTTTCAAATAAAAAAACACAAATAGAATTCTAATTAGAAAGTCTGTCACTATTATAAACATTATTGTGATAAGTAAATGGTCGTCAAGGGAAAGAAATGATATAGATCTAAGCAGATTCCCATCACTGAGCAAACATAGAAAAGGAAGCAACAGGGATAAAGATAAATAAAATGAAAAAGACTAGTTGATATCTAAGAATTCTTTAAAAACTGTACTTAGTGACTTATTCATCAACCTTAGCAGTGCTATTGTGCAGACCTTGGATGCAATATCTGCACCTTAACAGGGGGAGTACTTGTTGCCAACCCCCGCAACCTGCAGCGTGGCATACTTCCCACAGGTTGGGTCATTCATGTCCACATCCGGTCCTCGCACCTCACCATTAGCAGCTTCCTGAAGACTAATGCCGAGACCTGATTGGATGAGATGAACAGTTCATGGCTCACCCATTGGACCTCAGGCTCCCCTCGCTCCCGGATAGCTGGCACAGCATAGCATTACTTAAGCTCCAGCACCCTGGCTGAGATCAGCACTCTACGATCCTCCAGCAGAGCTCGACCACAGCAAGCAGCTCCAGGCCTTAGCCGTCGGGGAGCTGCACCAGCTTCCCTGTCGATCTCCACACCTCACCAGCACCCAGCCATACTTGTGGGAACTCACACCCATAGCAAGCACTCCCTAAAGAGATAATAGACCAGTCGAAAAGAGGATAACCAACCATCCTTTAACCATATTTGGGATAAAGATGATGGAAAGCCACTGGGATGAACAAAGAACAACACATTCATCAAGTTGTGATTTTTAATGTTTAGGATGAAAAGACTGACATTCAACTGGTAACACAGTTGTCTAATAAACAAGGTTTGTGCACCAAATGTTTGATGATGAAGTTGGGTAGCTACTGACATGAAAGAAATCTTGTCTAAATGATCAAGATGAGTTGAAGCAAATGACATCAGTACTGTTTAACAATAGCCAAAAATGTGAGTAAAAATTAGTTAAAGATAATTATATCATCATTCAATGTAGATTTCAATTTCAATTTCATTAACAGACTGGTTTTCTAAGAAATTAAAGCAACTTCCTTTCTAAAGTGGTAGGTCACAATTTGCAATGCTGGCATGCAAAATTAGGAGAGAGTTGTGAAGCCTTAGGGAATATCTTGAAGGCGAGTGTGCTAGGCATTTGTAGATATTCATATACAGACTGCTGATTATACAGTACTGACTGCAGATTTTTTTCTCAACCAAAAAGTATTAAGTAGTAAGAGAAATCATGAATAGAATGGCGGGTGTTGAGTGGTTGTGGATGTGTCAAAGGTTTACAAAAGGGGCTGCTAATGTTTAAAGGTTGTAAACCACTGGTTTAAATTGAATGTCATAATGATCATTATTTTTTTTTCTAATAAGAAAAATTTCAAGTACATGTTCCATTGTACTGGCTGAAGTGACCATTATAAGATTTTTGGTGTAGACTATAGTTCTGAACTTATTTCTATATTCTTTTCAGTGTTGATATGATTTATAAGACCCCACTGAATTTTAATGAAAAGATCATATACAAACAATCTGGAAAAAAAAATTGATGCATGTGGACTTTTGGAGACTTACTGGTTACATGCACTGCCAGGACCTAATAAAAGATTTTTGCTAAATTAACATCATACCTCCCAAAGATTATAGTTACAGGAATAAAAAGGGATCATCAATGATTTCAGAGAATCAGCGCAGTACCAAAGTTTGTCATTCCCAGAAAATGCAGTACACAGACCAAAAATAACATCAGGGACAATCAAGCACTAAATTTATTTAATCATGCACTTAATGATGACAGTGTGATGGTTATAGGTGCTAAAAATTGATAATCTATATTCGCAAGGGTGGAAGGGTGCATTGCACTGTTCTGAACGAGGAAAGGGGCCAAGTGGAGTCAGCGCCCCTGGTAGTTTAAATGCCAATGAACCATTGTCAGAGATGCATGCTAGTAGAAATTATCAGCATCAACAATTCTTTTGTCTTCTTTTATCTTCTCACTTTTCCTCTTTTCTTTTCGCTTCTTTTATCTTCTCACTTTTCTTCTTTTCTTTTCGCTTCTTTTATCTTCTCACTTTTCTTCTTTTCTTTTCTCTTCTTTCTCTTTTCTTCTCTTTCCTGCTTTTTCTTCCTTTTTCAGCTTTCCTTTCTCTTCTCTTCTTTCTCTCTCATCTCTTGCCTTGTTTTGTCTTCTCTTCTCATCTCTTGCCTTGTTTTGTCTTCTCTTCTCATCTCTTGCCTTGTTTTGTCTTCTCTTCTCTCTCATCTTTTCTTTTCTTTTCATCTCTTCTCTTCTCTCTCTATCTTCTCTTCTCTTCTCCTCTCCTATTTTCTTCTCTTCTCATCTCCTCTCCTATTTTCTTCTCTTCTCTTCCTCTCCTATTTCTTCTCTTCTCTTCTCCTCTCCTATTCTCTCTCTCTCTCTCTCTCTCTCTCTACTCTTCTCTTCTCTTCTCTCTCTCTCTCTTCTCTTCTCTCTCTCTTCTCTTCTCTTCTCTTCTCTTCCTCTTCTCTTTCTCTTCTCTTCTCTCTCTTCTCTTCTCCTCTTCTCTTCCTTCTCTTTTCTCTTCTCTTCCTTCCTCTTCCTCTCCTCTCCTCTCCTCTCTTTTCCCCTCTTTCTCTTCTCTCTCTCCTTCTCCTCCTCTCCTCTCCTCTCCTCTCCTCTTTCTCTACGTGTCTGTCATTCATACTGCATTGGCAGTCGACTTTCATATGAATTACAGTGCGTCTCTTCTCTTCTCTTCTTTTCTCCCCTCCCCTCCCCTCTTCCTCTGCTCTCCTCTCTCTCTATTTGTCTATGGTTCATAATGCATTGGCAGTCGACCTACATACAATGCGTCTCTTCTCTTTTCTTCTCCCCTCTCTCCTCCTTGCTCTCTACTTGTCTGTAGTTCATACTGCATTTGGAAGTTGACCTACTTATGAATTAAAATCGGCTACTTTTCTCTTCTCCCCTATCTCACTACTTGTCTATGGTTCATACTGCATTTGGGATTCGACCTACTTATGCATTACAATGTGCACATATTTCCCCGCCCGCTTCTAGATGAGTACTGCCGTGGTCTGGGACACTCCCACTACTTTATATCAATGATTTTCTATTAGCATTTAAAATGTCTAGACAGCAGCCCTGATTGTGACAACTACCAAGTGTAGAATGAGTTGTGTGTAGTAGACTGCTTTATATTCATTTAAAGAGCTCAGTATTGGTTCTAGATAATCATAGCTTTTTATGAATGGAGGTAATAGAGAAATAGTATGGCATGCAATATAAAGAATCTAATATGTCTGATGGTTTTCACTTTTTATGTAGAACTAAAAGGTGATTTAATATGTGATTGAAAAAATCAGCAGCTTTGGTGAATAATATAATTGGAAATGTGTTTGGGAGGAATGTTAGCTAATGTCACATTTAACTCTGGATGAAATATATTCTTTATTAAGAACTCTCGTCACCCTTCACCCCCCCCCCCCCTCTCTCTCTCTCTCTCTCTCTCTCTCTCTCTCTCTCTCTCTCTCTCTCTCTCTCTCTCTCTCTCTCTCTCTCTCTCTCTCTCTCTCTCTCTCTCTCTCTCTTTGTTGTTTCTCTCGATTATTTTTGTCTGTTTTCTTTTTTTTTTTTTTTTTTGTTCTCTACAATTTACATTATGACCACTTTTGTTATTATAAATGACAATAGCTCGACAAAAGCAGTTGCATCAAAATTTCATTAATACTGGTATAACATATCTATTTGTTTAAAGAATTAGCCGTTTAAAGAACTATCACTGATGTAAGGTTTTTTTAGCATCTGATCCTCCACAGAAAATGGAGAAGCGCCATCGATTATGTGCTCTCCTGCCCTATTTTGCTCTTGTCTACCTCTCGTTATGACGGTTAACTAAAGTGCAAATGTCATCGGTGGTTTACAATGCTGTAGAGATACAAGGGGTGCATGGTTGGTGAATCTGAGGAGTGTAATTGAATTAGTATGATATGAGTCTTTGTGGATTGGACAAAACTGTTATTCTAAAAAGAGTATCTGATCCCATGTGGTTCGGACAGGATAGAGAAATATGTAGACTTCAGATAACGAAATTCAACTGAAGTGATTCATCGTAATTATTCTGAAGTTTAGTAGTGCGCCTTCGCTAACACCTGGAGAGTGTTGTGTACCTTTAACATATCGTGGTGTTTCATGCAGGATTCATACAGATATGAATGCAGTTTTTTGTGTCTCATTTTCTTTAACACTCTTTTCAAATTGTTTC